TTCTGACATCTGACTTTATGATGTATTGATTGAAGAAATTATCATCATTGCTATGACCAGTTGTCTAGAACAGTAGGATGTATACAGTGTTATTAGCTGTTATTAGCTCACTATATTTGGTAATATTTATCGATTCCTTGATTTAAAGGGGAAAGTCAATAAAGATTCCTGCTTTCTAATCAAGAGACCTGGGGATTCAATCCAGAAAATCCATGCTGAAGTTCTACCTACTACTATACAATACTACTATCATCCTCGAAAGTGGAGACCAAGCTAGCGTGTATCTACATTGAAGTTAGCCCTTCGAGTTGCAGTGACTTTATGAATCCCCTCAAGCCAGTTTTGTCCATTTTTGGTAATTCACATGGGTTGGTTTGAAGAAAGAAAAAGTATATTTTACAAGGATAACAACCTAGGTTTACAGTTAAGGATCCTTTCTACCAGCTGGTCCTTGGCCAAACCTCTTGGCATTGATCTTTCCCAGATTATCCGTACCCATTTACAGCTGGGTTGATTGGAATTATGAGTGAAGATGACTTATTCAAGGTCAGCAGACTATCACACACTGATCAAGAATTTAACCCACATCATGTCATGTAAAGAACTAATGCACTAACCGAATGTTCTATAGAACCTCACAAAATGATCTGCTATAAAGACTAAGATTACAGTTGCAGTTCTCATGTCTATGTTTCATTAAAAGAATTTACTTGTTGGTGACGAAAAAATATCTCAATATCTCACTTATACCTAGAGCTTAAACCCTTGTATATTAATATCAACAGTTGACATTTATTCTACCATTATTATTTTGAATTTCCCATTCGCATTAAAATGATTTGTAAATATTAATGATGAAGTGATGGCAGGTAATTCTCAGGAGAGGATTCCATATTTCAAGGTCATTATTCTAGAACTAAATTAAGACTACTTTATCATTGAAAATAGAATCATATTACACTTGTACAGGAAACACCATCAATTCTAGTTATTCTTACATTTTTTACTTTTGATTGCATGTTTTTGAGATTTTCTGTTTGTTCTTGGTGTTAAAGTTGACAGCTTCAACATTTATGATTGAAATGAGCCTTTTTGCTTGGGCTAATTAACATGTGCAGTGTGCATTGAGGGAAAGTTTGTAACTTGAGTCTAAACATTTTTTATTTCTAATTAATAAGGAACTTTTAAGTATACATACATTATCTTAAGCACAGTGTGCCTTGGTTCGTTTTCACAACAGACTTTCCTCTGACCTGCTTCACTTATTTGGGGAGAACATGGTTGAAACATCCTGCAGGTATTATTGATGGTACCTATTTTACAATTGGAACTTGGAACCACTTCACTAACTGACAGAAAAATGGTTTAAATAATATTAGTACTACCCATGTTTGGATTTAAGCTAGGACCTAGGTTAGCGAGCAATCTTCTAACTCTCTGAACCACTGCGAACCCAGACAATTGTTCTAAGCTGTAGGGAAATAAAAAAGAAATGAACAGTCTATATTCTACATGGCAGTCAACGTAATTATTTATCCAAATCTCCAGTGTATATATATTTGTTTTTGAAGTCTAACATTTCTCAGATAAAGACCAGTTTTTAGAGAAAACACAAAATTAATTTGAACATATATAACCTCAGGGGATTGTTCTTATCCTGTGAATATGTCTCTGTCAGAATGTTAAATAACAAACTCATTATCATCTCCGATCTGGTGGAAAACTGCTCAAGATATATTCCGTTACAATGAAAAATGTAAAAACTGTGAGGAAATTTTCAACTAATTAGAAAGTAATTTTGGTATTGCCACATGGTGCTAACTATTTTTAAGCTCATAGTTTTTAATGACTGTTTTATGAATAAATCGGAAGAATATTTAAGAGATTTTTATTCCTTTTGCTGACGCTGATTTTGGTATTGCATTTGAAATTTCTGTGGTAATGAAATAAAAAACTTTCAAAACTATGTTATGAAATTTTCAACTAATTAGAAATTAATTTGGTATGGCCACATGGTGCTAACATTTCATAAAAGATAACAAAAATACTTATAGTTAATGATGACTGTTTTATGAATGAACAGATAAAGATAATGTTGGGCAGCTTATATTTAAGATACTATTTGGATATTGCAAATATTGAGATATTCTAGAACGTTTAAACTTCCTGGTCAAACATGTTGTCAAGAGTATATTCTAAACCTTTCTGTGTTGGTGCTGTGTTGGCAGAACATTTCACGAATAAAGCATGAGGTGACTGTTTTAGAGACCTGTTATAACTTTGAAGGAATTATAGATACTATCTCACTATTAAAATGAATTATCTTAAAATTTCAAGTGAAATGTTGAGTTGAAATGATATTTTAAGATCATGCTCAAAATTCATTATTTGATGGGTTGTACCATTTTCATAGTTGGTGCTACATTGATCTGGGAACTTCTCGTTAAATTAGTACTGTACTAGCAAATTGTTAGACCTTTCTCTTGACTGTGAAGAGGAACATGAAATTGGTGATTTATATCGCTAACACTAAAGCATTTTAACATGATTTGAGGCCACAGTTCCAATGTTTCATTAGGACCTTTTCTATTTTATGGCGCCAGAAACTGCCATAAATTCTGCTTAAGAATGAAGACAATAAGATTGGGTAGACGTAAACAATAGGACTGGTATGTAGGATAGATGAATAACATCTCGGAACAGGAAAACAATAGATTAATATAGATTTATATCTACTACTTGTATTTACTTGAAATCAATCATTTTGTTTAGAGAGTATAAGTCAAGTCGTCTGGACCAAATAAGTCAGCAGATCTTTCTTCTATCTGATAAATGGTGTCGAACAGGTTTCAATGGTCAACACATTTTCTCTTTACTGTTTTTATCTGAAATATCTAATTTTACGTTCTTATTCAATTGTATTTGCCAGATATTGATTTCTGCCAAATAATCATCATGATGGATGAAAATATTTTGACATCCTCCTTTTAGGATTGAATTGTCAAAATGAAGATAGATGGTGAAAAAAGAAATTTAGTTAGATGCACATGAAGATTAAATTTGATATGTTTGTGGGAGAGACTAGTGAGATGATTGTATTATGTCGTGTTGAAAATGATGAAAGGTTAATCAATTAATTCTATAACAAGACCTACTGACGTGTCCTCTTCACTTTCTATTTATTATCTAAAGTGCTAACTAGAATCTTAAACTATTCTCTTGGGAAGACGTCACTGATTTCTTTTATTGTTTCTGCTGACATCTTTAGTAGCACAATTAAAAACTGTCAAAGTCTCTTGTCCATTACAAATATCTTTAAGGGAGTTGGGAAAATACTGTTATACAATTATATTAACACATTAAAGATTCTGTTGGATAATAAAAACTATAAGGACCCACTTGGTAATGGTCATAGATTGAATTGTACTTTAAGAAAAAAGAATGGTCTGGAAGAAAGATCCATAATTTGTAAGGAGAGAGCTTCGAAAAATCCTACCTACCCTGTTGGTCTGTAGCCAAATCTCTAAACATAAATCTTTTTCCCAATATGTTCCAAATTGGTATGATGAGGAAAGATTAAATTTGTGACCATATATTGAGATTTGAAACCTATATTGATATGGAATATGAAATGGTTTTAAAAATATTGTTATCAAAATGGGCTCCTGACTTGTTGATAGCAAGAGTGTTTAGACAAACTGATGTTAAGGTCACATACTAAATTGTTCTAATTAATCTAAATTATTTATTGTAATTATTTAGTGTAAAAATTAATTATCATACTGTATTGAAAAAGTTTCTGAATAAATCTACTTACTTGAAAATATGTAACTTGCAGTCTGTTGTATTGGATTTATGGTGGGTATGTCTCTAATCAACCGAGGATCAGAAATTTTTTTCTCATCTGGGGAAGTTGATTAGAAAGATTGAGAAACACTGCTCTGATCTGATGATTTGTTTTATGGCAGTAGTGTCATATGCTAATCCTGTAGACGTGTAATCTTATTGCTCATACCAGTCACTGATGGTGTCATTTATTTAATTTCTCTGTCTTTAGAATGTTAATCAGTCTATTTGGTTGATGAGTTTTCACTAATTAGGCTCTTATTATTGACAAGGTGTGTTCATTACTAGACTACCAGTCAGTATTGATTGGTGTGTTCTATTGCTTGTTCTCTAATATTTTTACAACTATTTCCTACTAATAATATAATCATTGTAACCTCTTCTCATACTGAATATCACACTATTTTATCATTTGTCTCACTTCTGATGATTTGTTTTTAATGAGGGTTGAAAGAGTAGAATTCTGTATATTTGGTTGATGTGTCTCACCAAGGGTTTAGATTAGTAGATTGTGCTTGTAAGCAATGTTATGTCATTATTTTTGACAAATTAAAAGTGCACCCAGCAAATTCATGAGATTTGTTTAATTCTGGTTGTTAATCTTCATTTATTACAAGTTGATCTGTTTTAGGTCTATATTTTGAGTTTCTTTGAGCATAAGAAAGATGTACTCCAATGCAGTCTGTTTTTAATATGTTCACCTTAAATATGTTCATGATATTTTTCAAAGCTCAATGGTACATGCAAATTTGCTTTTGATTGATAAATTCAAAATCCAGAATAACACAACTGAAAGATGATGCCATCTGTATTGAAGTGTTCTATTTCTGTTTACAGCCAACCAGAACCTTTGATTGAAAGTCTGCTAGCAACAATACATGTAACTACTAGATCAACTGTGCTTTCTAACACGAACATTTGATTTACATGTAGCTATATTTTCAATTCTTAAAAGCTTGGCTACAGGATTGTTTCTACTTTCAAACAAAGTGTATAGATTGTGAATAAAGACTTATTCTTAAAGAAAAATTTTTGTTAATTGAATTAATTTTCATATTTTTCAGAGAAAAAGCTAGTATTTCAAAGACATGGGTATGAAGAAAAAAACACAACATGAAAGTGGAAGAACAGAATCAAATAATAACCAACCTTTATCTTCAATGGAGAAGACTTTTGGATTTTCAATCGACGATTTCAAATCACCTCAAGCAGTAATACGGCTTTTGTGTAGGCCAAGTGATCCGGCTTGTCTTGGTGTTGTCAGGTTTCTATTTGGTAAGGAAGCCATACCAATTAAATTCTTCAATACAAACTTTTCATTTGATATATTGATTCTGTCTAAGATAAGATTGAGGGAAAAAGAAAGAAAAAAAAATTTGCAGAGTCTTAAATGCTATGATAATTCCTGTCAATTTTCACCATTCATCTGGCTCATGTTGTAGCTCTATACTTCAGAGATAATGTAAGGGGTATGAAGAAACGGTAAAATTAGTTGCTTGATCAAGCAAAGCTAGTATAAAATGATGATATATTGGTCTGAGAAGAGGTTTTGATTTATATTTCCTATGTAATTATGCTGTATAAAGAATTGAACAGTTTCCAATCTGCTATAGAGCAGAACCCATAAATATCTTACAGTTTCTCTGATGTTTTACATTGATTATTTATTACAGTAAAACGCTACTGTTTACATCAATAGAGATATTCACTATGTCCAAGGGCACAGTTTATAACATTTTATATTTTGATTTGTAACATGTTTGTTTTCATGCACATTACAAATATTGATATAGATTTGGTGGCGTTTATAGGAAACACTCGTTGCTTGGGCTTGGCAGGGGCCACACAATTTTCCATGGGGGCCACAGGCTATATTTCATTATGTAAATTGATAAAAATGCTGCTATATAGATTGATGTTTCATGATTCTAATAATAGAAAAGAAGTTTCAGCTCTTATAAGTGAAAATCACCAAATAGTACCGATTTTTATAGGGGAGAGGGGAGAGAAAAATTTGAAAACCCCTGAGCTAAAGGAAGGTGATGATTCACATAATTTGTTTTTTTGAAACATTTTTCAGGATTTTTAATGTTGATTGATATACCACAAGAAAGAGGACTAGGTATGGCTGATGTAAGATGGGGCCATACTGATGAATGTAGATTTCCACTATTTAATTTTTTAAAACCATTGCCATTAGAATGGATGTATATAGTATATTTTGTTATGTTAATTGGTAAGTGATAATATTTTAACATTAATAAGTTCTGTAAATTGTAACATTACTATTTGAAAGTGCCAACACATCCAAAGGTGGTAATTCTGAAGAGTGTATAGATAGCTTAAATAGAGCTCCAGACAACCTTTATAGGTTAATATACTTCTAATATTTACAATGATAATTCTCAAAGAATATACTAAAAAAATATGATCCAGTTAGGGTTTCTCACATTATTTACTCTCAAATCAAAACCATTATTTTATTTATGTTGTAAGATATGGTTGCCCCTAATATTCAGAAGTCAATGTGTGGACTCCATTGACATTTCTGACTGGTAATTCAAACCACTTGTCATATTATTGACTATTGGTGAACATTGAAATGGAGACACTCATTACCTTGTAGTGCCGTGAGGCAAAAAGAAAAGTTGAAATTACCAACAATCTCCCAAATGTTGATAATAATCAGTGCAATCAAAGTCTACAGAAAATCAACCTCTGGCAGGTCTGATTGTTGCCAAGGGATTAGGTTCTTGACTTTCATTCTCTTAGCCTCTTGAAGGGCAGTTTCATGTGAAATGTTGACTCCTCCTTGTGTGAATTTCTGAAATGATGAAAATTGCTTGAACTGTGTACATTAAGTGACCCAGCTAGTGTGTACTTACAGCTTGATGTCAGATACATGCTTAATGTTATGTTTTGTAAATTTGCAACCCCTTCCAGATAAGTAACATTTGAGGTCAGTGGTGTGTGACATCCTGGCTACGTCACTGTTTGATGTATTGTCTTTATGATCAATTTTCATATGAATGATTGCTGAGATTGCCAGAAACCTTCTGACAAAAATTGTAAAGAAGCCTGTACACTCTTCCCCCAAAAAACTTTCAGAATTTAGAACAAAACTTGCTCTTTTTTCTTCATTATGTTTAAGCACCAGACTGGACGTAAGTAGACTAAAAGTTTCAATAAGATCTTTTTGTAGCTCATTAAGTTCTGTCTGTAGATAATTATCATGTCGTGTATTTCTCAAGACTCATCTGTTTTAGTTTTAAACGGCAACAATAACCACGAAGACGGCAACCAATCAGGCAACAACCATCACTGTCAAAACTGTTTTTGGTTGCAGTGACATTCTTTAACAAATTAAGGAATTCTTTATTTTTTGTCTTGACATTTAGTTCTTAATTTTAAGTTAGAAACTGTATTATGTGATTGAACTAATTACTTCCTGTACCAATATCCGCCATTTTCTACTTGACCAGACGTCAACTTCTAGCTGACTGAGAATGAGATAGCTAATGGTGGACATCTTTTATTCCTACCATTAGTTTAACGAGAATATAAATACTGGGCCTAAGATAAGAATTGTTGATGAATTTCACTCCGGGAAAAATAGTTGGCCCATCAATCAAATTAGAGAAGTTACAAAGAAGTGAGGCAAATATTTTCAACAATTCATGTTATTGATTGGTCGTATTTTCTGGTGATGTGTCAAAACTGATTAGGGATAAAGGTCAAGTCGAGAGTCAACAGAAATTTGATTTGGATTATTAGAACATGCAAGCTTGATTAGGTTACCAGTTTGTTTACTGCAAATGACAGGCTTCCATTCATGTCATTAGGTAGTCTGAAACATGTGGAATTGTGCCACGATTCTGATAGACATTGCAGACCGTGATTAATAACTGGCAAAGGGTGGACTTTCTTAAGCAGATTCTTTCCCTTAAAATATTTTTCCTTATCTTGAAAAGATACCTACCTATTGCACATTCAAAATCTTATCTTGATGCCTAAAATAAATTGCTTCTGAAGAATTTCAGACAACACTCAGTTTTATTTTCTGAATTCATGTCATGTAGGTTTTATTTATTATCTTGTTTTAAATCTAATTCTACTTTATGAATGGAAAAAGAAATAGAACGCTGTATATAGAATACTGAGTAAGATTTATTGTCAGGTGGCCTTTCTTTCCCTAGGTCAAATGATAAGAAATTCGAGAGTGGGGAGACAAAGCCAGGCCACTTGGAATGGATGCCCATAGAAATACCACCAAGATATTTGAAATAAAACTTGATTAGCCACTGGTAGAATCTCAGTAAACAACTGGTGTACTATTCTTGCTACAAGATATGATAGTATTATATATATCATAATCTATCAATGTACTGTTTGTTATTTCAGGTGCTACTGGAATAATGTTAGGATTTCAATACCGTTTTAGTTGTTTATGTTTTTTATTACCATACTGGTATATATTTTTCTTGGATAAAACTTCCTGGAATAATCATAGTTATTTATATGGTATATTGGCATTTCTACTCACTATTTCTGATGCCAACAGATATTGGTAAGTTTGTTTTGGTGTGCTTTTAAATGGAATGTTCTGAGAACTGATCAAGACTACTGCTGGAAAATACTGCACCTTTTTTACCAGATTTGATTTGACATGTTTCACAAAGGCAGTGCTTCTCAACCTCAGTTAGATCATTCATTCCTGAAAGATTTCTTCCAAATCTATTCCTCCCCAAAATAAATCAGTCATTTTGAAACATTTTTCACTCGAAAAAATGTATTCAACAATTAACCATGAATTATACTACTCATACTCCACATATCAAGATGGTCCAATAAGACCCTTGGGCTGAATGTTCGTTCTCGATTTTCAGGGTGAATTTTGCAGTCGTAGATCACCTTGCCTCCCATTTCCCCTGTTGAGAAGCATTGCACTTAAGAAAATTTAATAGCATTGTGTTCTTCAGGCTCTGAAACTGTTAGAAAAATAACATTAACTGTGTTATTACTATGTTTGCAGGTCTCTTGATGGTTTCTTCTCTAAAAAATACAGAAACTGTCATGTACCATTATGGAACTATACATTACTTAGAACACAGGTAATATAGATAGACTTTTAGTGATAATACTGTAACCATGATGCCAGATTGTCAATGCAGATATGTACTTTTATACATGGCCTCGAGTTACTCTTTTCATTATTAATATTCGTCGCTCTTAAAAAGGTGTTAAATTTAAGAAAATTATAATTCCTTTAGCTGATTTAATTCTATTGCACTGTTAGTTAGAGGTTTAAAACAAATGGCAGTTGTGGGTTCTAATCTTGATCAGCTTGTGACAATCTGGTGAACTTAATTATGTCGTCTTTCTTCATTATTCATTATTCAAATTGACCTGGCGGTAAATGGATACAGATAATCTGGGGAAGATTAATGCCAAGAGGTTTGGCCAAGGATCAGCTGCAAGAAAGCATTCTTGTTATCCTCTTATCCTTGTATCCTCATGTTTTCTTTCTTCTTTTGATGCAAATAGATCTAAATGTTTTAATACTAGCTGAATTTGTGAACTGACAATTTTTCAATCAAAGATATAAATGATAGATATATAATGATCTTGTCAAAATTATCCCCACCACATGGCCACATTGATATCACACATTAAAATATCAAAGATTAGTTATTTCTGAGTTTTAGTCTTCAATTTTGTGTTACATAAAAGAGATGATTTTCCAATAAGATTCCAATGCAAAGCTGAGAATAAATTTGATAATATGAGTAATAACTAGGATATAAAGACTGGTATTGACATGTATAGTTTACCACAGAGATTTGATTTATTGTATCATAAAATAGCTTGATACAATCTCTATCTTTAATACGCCTTCATAAACATGTTTTTTACATCCACTTTCAAGATTGTGGTTTCTTTTAAGAGAAACTTGGTGAAATTAAACTGTCAATGCTGGTATTTTTTTTATCTTCTGCAGGTTTTTCTGGTGTATTTTATCGCTGGGTTAAAGAAGTTAGATTTTGACTGGGTTTATGGTTATTCAATGCAGAATTTATCAAGTCATTGGGTTTTTGACCCATTTAAGTAAGTTGTGTTTTAGAGCTATTTATAGTGCTGACAATGTTTGTTAATTGACACATAACAATACACTGTTCCACAATACAAGTATCATATCACATGGTCATGTATCAATACATGGTATTAGTACACATATAACCCATCATCACTCCAAGGGTCATGTATCAATACATGGTATTAGTACACATATATAACCCATCATCACTCCAAGGGTCGTGTATCAATACATGATATTAGTACACATAAATATCCCATCATCACTCCAAGGGTCATGTATCATTACATGGTATTAGTACACATAAATAACCCATCATCACTCCAAGGGTCATGTATCAATACGTGGTATTAGTACACATAAATAACCCATCATCACTCCAAGGGCCATGTATCAATACGTGGTATTAGTACACATAAATAACTCATCATCACTCCAAGGGTCATGTATCAATACATGGTATTAGTACACATATATAACCCATAATCACTCCAAGGGTCATGTATCAATACATGGTATTAGTACATATATATAACCCTTAATCACTCCAAATACAAAAGAAATCCAAAGTTGTAGGTCATTTTTTTGATTTGAAACCTGAATAAGTAAGACATATATTTATCTACAACTTAGCGTTTAATTCACTAAAATCTGTTTCTGACACCAACCAAGCAACTTTTAATGGTTTATTATATAAGCCTTTTAAATAGTTTTGTTGTTCTAAAAATTAACAGCAAGGTACTCTTAGGTAAAACTTTCAGATAAGTTTCAGATATATTTCTCTAAGATTTTGGTCTGTAGCCATTGATTTGAGCACTTAACTTTCCTATCCTACTAAAAAAAAAAAACCAGACTATTCCTTTAATTTTGTATAAAAAAAAATAATCTATAAGTTAATTTAATCCAGAGTCTATAATCAGAATGGTCTACTCATTTTTCATCTACTGACCATTTATACAGATTATATGTAAAACAAGCTCTTTATATCTGTGTTCATACTCTATTATTTCCAATGTATACAATCTTTCTCATGGTGATTATTATGTACCTTACTACTGGAATAAATGTATAAATAAAAAAAACCATAGCATTATCCTGTCTGATACTTTTGGTATCTCTGGGGTAATAACAGTATTTCTACCAAAGAACAACAAGAAATACACCACACACTGTTATTAAAAGTTGTCTCTTGGAAATTTTCCAAATAAAGTTTGTTTGCATTAGGAATGTAGAAATGTTGACCATTGAGTAATTTTGACCATCTACAAGATAAAAAAAAAGTAATTTTGACCAGAACTTATCATTATTATAAGTTTAATAGTATGTTGGGTTTATCTAGAAAATGCTTTTGGTGTCTCCTTGAGACAAAGCTTGAAGGGTTAAAGCAGCTCTAAAGCAGAAGGTGTTGGGGTGCCAGAGTTTCCAGAAGCCAACAGATTTCAAATGGACTGATATGAAATTTGAGCCTTTGTCACCGCCCAAATTTGAGGCTCCAAATCCATATGTGTCCAGAATTATCCGCGTTTAAATGTTAAAATGATAACTTGTTATTTTAAGATACTCTGTGATATATGTAATAAACTTACATAGAGATAGTGAAATTGAGATATTTTTGAAGGAATTATGCAATTTTCATACATTTTTAGTACTTCAGAAGACTATTTACATATTTTCACATTTACACATTTGTCCCTTTAATTTTTACTCAATTAAGACCTTACACAGGCCCAATCCTTCTAGGACACCTGATGCCACACTTGTGTAATCCCAGCATCCCATTTCTAAGAGTGCAATTATCTAACATTGTTTGTTAGGTATCTTTATTGAATGGTGTTCAGAATTTTTAAAGGGTACAATGAAGAGGGTTTAATCAGTAGTATCTGAGACTGTCATTCTTGTATAAAGTTTATTGTATGATATGAAATTCTTGTATAAAGTTTATTGTATGATATGTCATCCTTGTATAAAGTTTATTGTATGCTATGAAATTCTTTTATAAAGTTTATTGTATGATATTTTATTCTTGTATAAAGTTTATTGTATGATATGTCATCCTTGTATAAAGTTTAATGTATAATATGTCATTCTTGTATAAAGTTTAAAGTATAATATGTAATCCTTGTATAAAGTTTATTGTATGATATGTCATTCTTGTATAAAGTTTAATGTATAATATGTCATCCTTGTATAAAGTTTATTGTATGATATGTCATCCTAGTGTAAAATTATTGTATGATATGTCATTCTTGTATAAAGTTTATTGTATGATGTGTCATCCTTGTATAAAGTTTATTGTATAATATGTCATTCTTGTATAAAGTTTAATGTATAATATGTCATTCGTGTATAAAGTTTATTGTATGATGTGTCATCCTTGTATAAAGTTTATTGTATAATATGTCATTCTTGTATAAAGTTTATTGTGTGATATGTCATTCTTGTATAAAGTTTAATGTATAATATGTCATTCTTGTATAAAGTTTATTATATGATATGTCATTCTTGTATAAAGTTGAATGTATGATATGTCATTCTTGTATAAAGTTTAATGTATAATATGTCATTCTTGTATAATGTTTATTATATGATATGTCATTCTTGTATAAAGTTTAATGTATAATATGTCATTCTTGTATAAAATTTATTGTATGATATGTCATTCTTGTATAAAGTTTATTGTATGATATGAAATTCGTCATTCTTGTATAAAGTTTATTGTATGATATGTCATACTTGTATAAAGTTTAATGTATAATATGTCATTCTTGTATAAAGTTTATTGTATGATATGTCATCCTTGTATAAAGTTTAATGTATAATATGTCATTCTTGTATAAAGTTTATTGTATGATATGTCATTCTTGTATAAAGTTTAATGTATAATATGTCATTCTTTTATAAAGTTTATTGTATGATATGTCATTCTTGTATAAAGTTTATTGTATGATATGAAATTCTTTTATAAAGTTTATTGTATGATATTTTATTCTTGTATAAAGTTTAATGTATAATATGTCATTCTTTTATAAAGTTTATTGTATGATGTGTCATCCTTGTATAAAGTTTATTGTATGATATATCATTCTTGTATAAAGTTTAATGTATAATATGTCATTCTTTTATAAAGTTTATTGTATGATATGTCATTCTTGTATAAAGTTTAATGTATAATATGTCATTCTTGTATAAAGTTTATTGTATGATATATCATTCTTGTATAAAGTTTAATGTATAATATGTCATTCTTTTATAAAGTTTATTGTATGATATATCATTCTTGTATAAAGTTTAATGTATAATATGTCATTCTTTTATAAAGTTTATTGTATGATATGTCATTCTTGTATAAAGTTTATTGTATAATATGTCATTCTTGTATAAAGTTTAATGTATAATATGTTATCCTTGTATAAAGTTTATTGTATGATATGTCATTCTTGTATAAAGTTTATTGTATAATATGTCATTCTTGTATAAAGTTTAATGTATAATATGTTATCCTTGTATAAAGTTTATTGTATGATATGTCATTCTTGTATAAAGTTTATTGTATGATATGTCATTCTTTTATAAAGTTTATTGTATAATATGTCATTCTTTTATAAAGTTTATTGTATGATATATCATTCTTGTATAAAGTTTATTGTATAATATGTCATTCTTTTATAAAGTTTATTGTATGATATGTCATTCTTGTATAAAGTTTATTGTATAATATGTCATTCTTGTATAAAGTTTAATGTATAATATGTTATCCTTGTATAAAGTTTATTGTATGATATGTCATTCTTGTATAAAGTTTATTGTATAATATGTCATTCTTGTATAAAGTTTAATGTATAATATGTTATCCTTGTATAAAGTTTATTGTATGATATGTCATTCTTGTATAAAGTTTATTGTATGATTTGTCATTCTTGTATAAAGTTTATTGTATGATATATCATTCTTTTATAAAGTTTATTGTATGATATTAAATCTTTATGTCTGTACGAAGACAGACACCTAAATTAAATTAATGGTCTTATTTGACACTGTTAACTATAGTAGCATGAAAAATTCTAATTAAGTTAGATGATTGGTCCCCTCTTGGTAATTCTACTGACCAGACCAAACTAATTTTATTCACTATTCTAACTGTATTACCTCTAATTCAATAAACAGCTTTTCTTCTTCCATTGAGTTTGAAACTCAAATTAGATTATTAATCAAATTTCTAAATCCATCAATTTGATTTAATTTGATTTCAATTACTATTTTTTTATTTTTGAAAGACAGGGCAGCTTAGCCTTTGTTAAGTACATTTCACTTTTGAATATAAACCAAATTGACGACAATGATTAGAATAGCAACACTTATCTTTTTCCAACTTTTGAAGGACCTGTGTACAGTGCTGGAATATCAATAGAGACATTTTTTTAAAATGATAAACAATGTATTTTCAGGTTGTTATTAACAGAAGAACAGATAGATCTATTTATAGTACATATTGGTGGCTTGATAATAGACATCTCTGTTGGTTTTTTATTATTTTTTGATAAAACTAGATTGTTAGGAATGGTCATGTGTTCAAGTTTCCATTTAATGAATTCTCAAATGTTTAATATAGGTTGGTACTATGATTATATATATTGCTTTGACCTTTAATTGCCAACAATTGCTGATGTTGATGCACTATCTTAAATAACAGTAGATAGCCTTTTAAGCCCACATTACACATTTCTAGTCATGGAATCTATCATTTGGCCAGTTTAAATGCGCTGCAATTATCATGTCATGTAGAATGCAAATGATTCAATAAAAAGGCAAGTATTAACAATCCAAACTGCAAAACGAAACGAAATTAACATACTGGTTAAACATTGGTACCAGCTAATGAACTTTTCGCATGAAGAAATATATCAAGTGAGTAAGTATTTCAGAATGGAAAGGGTATCAGGTGTCTAGAAGAGTGCGCATACCCTGCCTGGTATTGATCAATTTGTTAATCACAAAGAGAGAAATGATCAACTCTTAAAGACATAATGCAGACTGAATCTGATGAGCATTGACCATATTATTTGAATCATCCGGCCGACTGCAATCCAATTCAGATATTCTACTGCCATGACAAAGTTAACCTCTTCATGATTTAGCAATCTATTATTCCATAATAAACTATGAACCCTCAAAACTTTCCTTTCTAAACATAAGGGTGATTCTCCTAGAACAATGCTTGTCATGACTGTCTTGCGGTTATTTCAGAATGTGTATTTGCCCTGCTGTTATTATATAGCAGATAACCAAGTTATTTATTCTATTTTCAGGAATGTTTCCATGGATGATGCTGGCAACACAAGTAATATTTTGTTATACGGACTGGCCACGACGTATATTTAAATCAATATCAGCTAATTGTCAATTGTTTACGCCAGAAGAAGAAGATTTACAGCCCAATGATCATTGTATATATCATAAACAACATATCAAAACTGAAGATTGTAAACAGCAGGTTTGTCAACAGATATTAAAAAATAATGCTAATATTTTTCTTCGTATAAAGATAAAGTAGTGGTTGTAGGTGCCTCAACCTTCAGAGATGTTCTGATAATGTTATTCATGTGTCATAGAGTTGTTTCCCTTTTCATATATGACTTTTGTCTTGTGTTCTCAATCATGTATCTAGACTACAGTTTTACAGTTATTAGCTGTAATGAATATTCAGAAATGTTATTGTATAATGTAATAATCCATTGATGTAGTTAGCATGTTTACAAAACAGTAATTTTTTAGGACCCTGGCTATACATGTCCAATCATGGTCAGCACAAAATGATCATCTGAAGTCCTGATACTAAATTTTGTACTATAAGGTCAGAATTTTTACTTCTTGATTCCATATCTTTTATATTCCAGATTTTAAAAAGCACAAAAGCACCGCCCATTAAATCATCATTGTACCACAAATTATCATCCCTGGGTACTATTTTATTTTTATTGTTACAACTAGTTTTACCATATTCACATGGAATCACCAAGGTAGGCATTATTTCAAATATTCATCTATGAGTTATATAGCTTACATATTTAGCTAAATAGCTTCAATAACTGGAATAAATGGTTATATTCAGTGCTATGATAACTGAATGAGTTATATTTATATGAAATTGTCATAATAAAACAACTTTTTGGTTATATATATATATTCAAGAGCTATAGTTACTGGTCTAATTTGTTATTTTTATATTAAAAGGCTCATAATAACACTTCTGGTTTATTTAAGGAATGACCTGAAAATCTTTTCAGTTTATCGATGTATAAACAGAAAAACCTGTGTACAATGTATAAATCTGCATAGCCTATGGGTTATATTCATATTAAAGAGCTATAATATTTGAACTAATGGGTTATATTTAATGACTGAGCCTATGGGTTATATTCATATTAAAGGGCTATAATATTTGAACTAATGGGTTATATTTAATGACTGAGTCTATGGGTTATATTCATATTAAAGGGCTATAATATTTGAACTAATGGGTTATATTTAATGACTGAGTCTCTGGGTTATATTCATATTAAAGAGCTATATTTGAACTAATGTGTTATATTTAATGACTGAGTCTATGGGTTATATTCATATTAAAGGGCTATAATATTTGAACTAATGGGTTATATTTATATTTAAAGACTATAATAACTTAACCAGTGGGTTATATTAAATAATTGAACTAATAGGTTATGTTTATATTAAAGGGCTATAATAACTGGACTAATGGGTTATATGGTTATTCGTGGGATATGATGATCCATTCATGGAGTGTACAACATATCAGATTAACTTATATTGATAAAGATACAGGTACAACTGGATATCTGAATCCACAGGTAAGACATGATGATTTGAAAATTGCACTTACATAGTCTTAGTCAAAGAGAAAAGAAAATCATATTAAACTGGGATTACAAATAGGGGGTAGACAGACTCAATGGGACAACAGTCCAGGCTGATTTAAAAATCTGGCGAATTTGTGGAGGTTTCATAGTCATAAGCCTTTCATGGAGTTTCAGAGAGAGTTTTTGGTGCATTCTGACAGATATTTAGGGGCATAAGTGTATAAAACATCATATATTCAAACAATTTGAACTGGGGATACAATGGGTGAGCATTATGATATGCTAAACCAACTTCTACGCATAGATAGCTGGTGTTCTTAAATTTGTTCATAGCAAATAAAAATATTCAAGAAGTTTTTTACCAAGGCAGGTCTTTTACAAAACCTGGTTTCTCAACATCTAGCCAAAGAAATGGACTATGGATAATATATTCTTTCTTTTTGCCCCAGGCATGGGTTGGTTCAAGAAGATGGAGTTCCCATGCTGATATGTTAAAACAACATGCACATTGCATAGCTGACCATTTAAAAGCCTACAATATTACCAATGTAGCTTTATATTTTGATGTATGGAAATCTATAAATGATAGATTTCAACAAAGGTAAATGTTTGACAACTGTTTTATTAATTTTCAATATATTGGTTGCTTCCCTTGAATAAGTTGACCTGTATGATTTAAAGTATGAAATTTAGTTTCATTCCTATCTTTACATTGGTAACCCCTTGGCCTTTCTGGATTATCTGTAGGCTACCCATTTACAAATTTGGTTGACTAGAAGAATGAAAATCAAGATTAAAAGCCAGTACCTTCATTTATTTGTCGTAATCGAGAAGAGTTCTACTATTTTCAAATTCTCACAAATTGATAAATTTTTAAACTCATCGGTCCTTTTTCTGGTCTAATTATTTGTGTGGATGAATTAGAATTTGTATCTTTTGTTATGTACAGAATGTTTGATCCAAAAGTTGATATATTATCAGAAGAGTGGAGTCCATTTAAAGAAACACCATGGTTGATGCCATTATTGGTAGATCTGTCTGACTGGAGAGGAAAACTTGCAGAAATACAGAAATCAACTACCAACTCTTCAGAGTCAGCTGATGTGGTTTTTGTGGCTGATTTTCCAGGTAATTTTAGAAAAGTTTATTTTGGTTAAAAAGATTTTGGCCTATAGATTGATAATTGTATTGCTTAAAAATGTTTTGATGATTTAGTTGTGTATCAACTGTTAAAGCAATTGTTAACCTTATTGTATCTCTATGTAAATATTCATGTTCTAGTAACATCTTGTCACTATAACAATGTTATATATATTAAATTCTGTAAAATTAATGAGCAAAAATTTAACACTTTTATGGCCATGTTTATGTAGATAAATCCAAATGTGACATTGTGAAATACAAATAAGCTTATGCAATTGTAAGATTGAAATAAAATATTTAGAGCAGTTGAAAGGTATCTGATGCCATGTTGATAAAGAGAATTGTTTTTTTTGTTACAAATAGGATTATATCTGGAGAATTTTGTACAAGAAGATTTAGGAAATACCAGTATAACTGTTTTAAAAGGGAAAGTTTTAGTAGAACTGGTAGAAAAACTAGAAAATTATACTTTAATAGAAGGTGAACACATGCAGGTATGTTCCTTTTTCAATTATTTTTCTTGGAAGGCAGAGTTTGCTTGTTTGACTTTGTACAATAGTACTTGTCAGACCAATTATTAGCTTCTAGTCTTTTGAAAGGGCTCTTAACATGCTACAATCCTTGCACGATCCCAGGGGTGTTAATTTGGCTCTATTTGCCAGACATGTAGGGCATAGCAGCTCGAGTGACCTTAAATAATCTACCTCATTATTATAGTCAACCCAGCTGTAATGATTTAGAAAGATAGAAGCCAAGGACCAGCAGGTAGAAAGGATCCTCCTAAACCAAAGTTGTTATCGTTGTAGGTACCTGCTGGAGCGTTCCATAATGTTCACACTATATCATCTACACCATCGTGTTATATGTATATATATGTTAATACTACTGAAGTTTATTTTATGGAGAATCTGGTGGAATATGAAATGGCAGTTAATGGTACATTAGATGATGGAATGGGTAAGATGTATTTAATATTAATAGTTAATAATATTAAAAACCTGAGTACTAACGATCCAAACCAAACAATGGCAGTGCTTGCCTGCTGGAGGTCAGGAGGAAGAGTTTCTTCAACTGATGCCACCATTGCCGCCAAAACGAAATCCAAAATGCAAATCTGGCAATACATTGGTAACAGCAAATGAACTATTTAATATGAGGCTGAGGTTTTAAACAATAATTGAAAGTTGATAGAAAGGGCTTTCTTACCCATCTGGAACACCTGATGACATCTATGATTGGTTATCAACTTGACCACCTTCAGAAAGTACAAACATTTTAATATGGTCATTTTGGTTCACTTCAATGATGATATATATAGCTTACATTATTTAAGAATACTTTTTAGGCTTGGATGTATTAAGCTAAGATTCCATATACGCGTCATGCGAATGAGTCATGCGGACATTAATGGCTCTTGCGGATCCGTCATGCGTCAAATATGATTCCATATGTGCGTTAAACGTATGCATTATCTTTCTTTTGACGCACGGACTTCTAGACAGATGGATGCTTTGGTGCATAAAAAAGACAGGGAATCTCCACAAAATACGTCACATTCGGGTGATCTCTGCACGGAAAGTCGTCCGAATGCGTCAGGATGAGGAAATTTAATGTTATATAGTATGACATTTATAGTGTAGATAACACATAGGTAATTTGGTTTTCGAAATTTCCTTGAAGATATGCCACGACTTATACAATATAGATGGCATATTACATTGTTGTGTACAAACAGACTCTATAATATGACAGTCAATTGACAGCAGGGAAATGTAAGCCAATCTACCCGGGATTTTTTGTGATGAATGAAAAAGTTAATAAATAATAGGATATTAAATTTACCTTGCCTTCAATTCATGATTTTAGACAGAATCTTAATTTACTATAAGAAGTCATGTTAAGGATATTAAAGTTACCTTTGCCTTCAATTCATGATTTTAGACAGAATCTTAATTTACTATAAGAAGTCATGTTAAGGATATTAAAGTTACCTTGCTTTCAATTCATGATTTTGGACAGAATCCTTATTTAAATAAGAAAGCATGTAAAGGATACTAAAGTTACCTTGCCTTCAATTCATGATTTTGGACAGAATCTTAATTTACTATAAGAAGTCATGTTAAGGATATTAAAGTTACCTTGCCTTCAATTCATGATTTTGGAGAGAATCTTAATTTACTATAAGAAGTCATGTTAAGGATATTAAAGTTACCTTGCCTTCAATTCATGATTTTGGACAGAATCTTAATTTACAATAAGAAGTCATGTTAAGGATATTAAAGTTACCTTGCCTTCAATTCATGATTTTAGACAGAATCTTAATTTACAATAAGAAGTCATGTTAAGGATATTAAAGTTACCTTGCCTTCAATTCATGATTTTGGACAGAACCTTAATTTTCTATAAGAAGTCATGTTAAGGATATTAAAGTTACATTGCCTTGATTCATGATTTTGGACAGAATCTTAATTTACAATTAGAAGTCATGTTAAGGATATTAAAGTTACCATGCCTTCAATTCATGATTTTAGACAGAATCTTAATTTACAATAAGAAGTCATGTTAAGGATATTAAAGTTACCTTGCCTTCAATTCATGATTTTAGACAGAATCTTAATTTACAATAAGAAGTCATGTTAAGGATATTAAAGTTACCTTGCCTTCAATTCATGATTTTGGACAGAATCTTAATTTACTATAAGAAGTCATGTTAAGAATATTAAAGTTACCATGCCTTCAATTCATGATTTTAGACAGAATCTTAATTTTCTATAAGAAGTCATGTTAAGAATATTAAAGTTACCTTGCCTTCAATTCATGATTTTGGACAGAATCTTAATTTTCTATAAGAAGTCATGTTAAGAATATTAAAGTTACCTTGCCTTCAATTCATGATTTTGGACAGAATCTTAATTTACTATAAGAAGTCATGTTAAGAATATTAAAGTTACCTTGCCTTCAATTCATGATTTTAGACAGAATCTTAATTTACTATAAGAAAGCATGTTAAGGATATTAAAGTTACCTTGCCTTCAATTCATGATTTTAGACAGAATCTTAATTTACTATAAGAAGCATGTTAAGGATATTAAAGTTACCTTGCCTTCAATTCATGATTTTGGACAGAATCTTAATTTTCTATAAGAAGTCATGTTAAGGATATTAAAGTTACCTTGCCTTGAATTCATGATTTTGGACAGAATCTTAATTTTCTATAAGAAGTCATGTTAAGGATATAAAAGTTACCATGCCTTGAATTCATGATTTTGGACAATGTGGAAAATTGTTATTAACTTCCAATAACAGAAATTATTTTTGTCTTGTAGCTGACAAGGCATTAAACAGATTTGAGAGTGATCCACTGTTATCTCAATATAAACAAGCTCTAGCAGCCAAACAAGCGGTTAAAAAACAAGAAGAAGAAACTTTATTTGAAAAACTCAGCCAGTTTATTAAAAATAAATATACAATATTTTATAGAAGGTAAGAATTGATTAGACACCTGATTGTCTCAAAAGCAGCAACCTTAGTTTTTTCAACTTTTCATTTCAAATTTCAGTGGGATGTCTGTGCTTCTGGCGATTCCTCTAGAATCAAGTTTTTGATAACCGTAATTATCACAAAATTTTCTTATATTGTTAATGGCAATTTATGATAGGGACGTCATGAAACGCTTAGTGGAATTGCAGGAACAACAGACTTCTGATTAAAAATTGCAAAAGTGCAAAAAGATGCTAACAGTGTCCCTGATACACATAAAAATCCAATCAAATTCGACTTTCTCACCATCAAGAATGTATCCAATGTATCAAATGACTAAATGACATATAAGTGGGATCGAGAAATTTAACAACTCCAAATTGTATTCAACTGTGGTGTCATTTTATGCGATAGTTTATACAAAAGTGAGACACATGATGACAATTAAGTAAATTCTCTTGAATATTTGCCTTTATAATACAATGTGCTATGCCCTTGATGTACTTACTCAGTATTTTTACTGTTTCGCATTTTATTACTGACATTTCACTCAATAGCCAAATAGAATTACAAACATGATAGAATTATATAAGAAACAACATGCATAAATGCCATCAATTTTATATATGATTTTATTTTGTATAATAGATGTTAATTATAGACACAAGAGCTTTGGATAGACAATTAAAACCTGTTGGATACAATTAGTATTCATTGTATAAATGTATTCCTTTGAGAATCTGACAAAAATGTAAAAAAATAAATACAGAAGTAATCATGTTTTCATAATCACACATAAGATAAAAATAAGACATGCTATGACAAATTAATGTCTTTTGAAAACAGTCAATTTTGATCATTATCTAGTTTTAGTAGCCTTTTTTACATCAACTGTAAAGTTTTATTGTTGACCTACTATTAAGTAGAAACTATGGTACTTTTGACATATCATGGCCCATTCTTCAAAAAATCTAATGAAAAGAATTTTAAAGAAGTATTGAATTTTATAACAAAAAAAAGGCCCTGATAACAAAATATCACTTGATATTATTTTATGTTTCTTTTGTAGTTTCAGATTTACCAGTGGAGCATTACATAGTATTTTATTACAGAGGCCTTTTGAAGAATTTTTAAATGATACATATTCCATGGAGCGTGATGCTATCATCCAAAATATTGACTTAGATTTATAATAAAACTTTCTCATCAATTATTCAACATTCAAAATAAACTGTGACATTCCGATATGAAACATGATAAACCAGTGATGTTGATATAAATTATTAGGTGGAGATGCCACAATAACATCAAGCAGAGCCAACAGTTTCAGGCTTTGAAGAACCAAATCTTGGGTCTAATTTCTGGGGGTTTAAGCCTCACCCCCATGGTGCTCTCCTTAGAAACATTACTGATGTTAACTGTATAAGTCGTTATATCTTTAAAATATGGTTGGAGCTGTGGTAGCTGTGGGACAATAAACAGGGGCCTAATGTGCTACATGCTGTGTACATTACAGATACCTGGACGTTTGGCAAAATTTTGCTTATTGCACACTGAATGGCATTATTCGTCTTCGTAACCAAACCAGGAGCGGAAAAGTAGGATATAAAACATGTTTATGATCATTGCAGAACAAACTGATATAGAATTCCACTACACTATTCTTGTTATCTGTATGGGACAAGTCTAAAAAGTGAACAACAATCCAGGAAAATATAGAAATAACAAAATAAATTTGTATATTGTGATAAGATTGAAGTTGAAAGAAATAAATATATTTTAAGTGGCTATAATTCTCCTTATTTTATTTTTTACAAAGTGTATAACTTCATGATGTAGTTTACAATCTCTAATTCCTTTTGCTTCCTGATAATTCAAATATACGTGTGGGTTACTCATCAGATAATTGATCACCAAAGAAATAAGAAAATAGGACAATTTATATACATGTACTTAATCTTTAATGCTTCTTTAAGGGAATCATTAACAACAAGAGATCATCATAGTTCAATGAATCCCATATTGGTAAAGAGAATCAAGGATCATCAGTCTACATCCCAGACAAGCAATCAGCAGTGGCTGAACACCTGTTACTGAATAAAAGGCACAAGGTGCGTTGGTCGGAAATCGAAGTCCTACACCAACCTACACGCAAAGATGAGGTAAACAATGGAGAGCATCCACATCAGAAGGTCCAAGCCAGCAATCAACAGGGACACGGGTGTTTATCTATCGCACGCCTATGATCGCCTATTATTGAACTGTTTGTCACATGCTGTTTGTAAATTTTAACTTTGATGATCCCCCCCCCCTCCCCAGTTAACCCTATGTGACAGCACTAATTACTCAATACACCTCCACTTAATCACCTATTTGGTGTCAAAGTATGAACAGAGAATCCAAACAAAACTCTTCTTGGGGGTTCCGCAAATCTATACCATCCCCTTCTTTCCTCATCTACTGGCAGGAGAGCTTTGGTTAGTCACATGACAAAAGCAGCCATGTGTGGAGACGTGCTCCCCAAAGACAGCTTTGATGGTCTGTGATGATGATTGTTGGATCTGGACAGATCCCCTCGTTTAAGTCATCACTTGTGAAAAGAAGCCCTGCAATGATATTTCCAATGAGCCATAATTTGAGCCATAGGTCGTAAAAACAAACGAAATATGTTCTAAAATTGTGGCGACATTTTCGACAAATTTCGCGATAGGAACGTTTCGATCAATTGGATCGTCAGTCTATCAGATCTCATCCCCGTTAAATCTGAGAAAGGAATGTCTGAAAATATTGTTAATTGTTTACTTCAATCAAATGAATTTGTCTAGAGACATTACGGAGATTAGAATAGTTTAAGCGTCTGACTATATGGTTTTAACAATGTGAAATTACAATGTAATTATAGATATGTTGTTTACTGATGAACTTATTGCTTATATTCTCAGAGGATGTCTGTGTCATTTATCCTCGACTTCTTGTCGTTTGGGTCAGCGACTGAAACAAGATTAAAAACAAGCCTTTCCTTATGAAGCTAATGACTAGGTGATGTCAAGAGATGACTTCGTGGATAAAGTATAATGACTCTTGTTAAAGGGGCTAGTCGGCGTAAAACCAATTGAGAAAAAAAGCTGATGCCTTCAATAATTTCTGGTGGCATACTTAAATCTATACCTTTAGGACAATACTGAACTTAATCTTATTATGATCATATTAATACTAAACTTCTGGACATAATGGAATTACCGTCTTGAACACATCATCAAAATTACGGTTTATTTTGAGAAAGCACTTTGGGAGACATGATAACCAATGACCTCGTTTCGGTATTGATAGGTGTCAGCACAAACATCCATGGAAGTGATAACCTTTTGAAGTATAATCAATCTGATCAAAATATTAATGACATGATTGTTTTGGAGTAATCGGGTCACCAATACGCCTACCATAAATCGTAATCACGGCAAACAACTATTGTACAATGACAAATACTCAAAAACAGTTCATCGTAAAAACGGAAAATCATCTCATTATTATATATATATACTGAAAGACAAAAGATACGTAATGTGGGTGTATCATATATCTTTATGTTTAAATGCCTATGTAAAGATGCCGGGGGAAATCGATGTTAAATAGACTTTTTAAGCAATAACAGAATATTGAACGAATATATTGAACATATGGAACATGTTTTATAAGAATTTTCATGGTTGGCGTTTCTTTAGTCTTTCGAAACTTTATATCAAGTACGACAAGAAAGTCCATAAGACTGGACTGTTGGGGATGAAAGTAGGGAATTTATGAATAAGCAATCAATTACCACAAGCC